CCCTTGCCCTGACAGAAGCGGAGCGATGTCTTGCCACACGCGCGGTTTCCCCGCGTTGACTCGGCAGATACGGGAAAGAAGTTCTTCCTTGTTTACGGTCGTCTTATTGTAATAAAGCACTCTTTCACTAACGAATATTTCACGGGTGGTGCACGAGGAGGCTGTGAGCGATGAGGGTTGAGTCATTTTTGGTGGAAACCACAAGCCGGTCGGGAAATCAGCTGCCGCTTCGCTTGCCCCGGGAGGAGACGGGACGGAGCTTGCGGCGCCCGGGCATCGGGATGCTGATGTTCCCCGGCCATCAAAGACCGGCTCAGCTTTTGTTTTAATCCCCACGCTAAATATTGCACCGCGCTTAACTGTAAAATGTCAACACCTCGCAGCTGATTTCAACTTTATCAAAGACACTGCTACATATTAACAGTTAAAAGAAAAACAGACAAAGCTGGTAGGAATTAAAGTATGTGTGGGTCACGGCGTGTTTGTGTATGTGGAAGGAGTGTTTGGTTTGGCATTAGGTGTACGGATCCTGCTCTGTGAGCTTGTGTGTGTGCCTCTAACATACATCCCACGTACATCATGTTGCACACAGAGCTCACGGGCTTCCCAGCTCCAACCAAGAATTTATCATGGTTTTCTTTTTTTTCCCCTGAGATTCCTTTTAGCTTGTTTTGTTTGATTTTTTTTTTAATAGAATCTCGAAGGTACAGGCTCTGTAAATTAAATAAAACGTGAAAAGAAATATAATGTGGTGACCGGAGTGCACGAAATATCAGCGAGTAAAACATGAAATTGATGTCGCTGGTGCGTATGAACACTGTATAAATATGATTTTAATTGAAATATTTGTAAGATATTTTCAGAAAAAAATCAAATTAATTGAGCTAGGTTTCAGAGCCTGCACGTATCGCAATGAACGTGCATAGTTAGGAATAACTAGGATGTTGCTGGAGATCGCCCAGAATTAATGGCATGTTGTAGACGTTTTGCGGTGGAAAGAAGGCGATCGTGGTTCCTTCGCAGGTGTCTCTTTATTTGATCGGAATATCGGCGGATACTTCTGTTTCCTCCACGGGGATTAAAAAAAAAAAAATAAAACAACTCAACAACAACAAATTTTCTATGGCAGTTTTGTGGTTATTTCAGAAACGTGAGTTGCCCATTCGGAATATCACACTTGTAAATTGTAGTGCTTTCTCAACCTAGATAAAATTACCTCTGGTAAAGGGGATTTCCC